AGATTCTTTCAAAATTGGCGCCCAATCACATCATGGAAATTATCGGAATCAATAATGTCCACATTTTTTTGTCCATAACGGAAAGTAGCTGACATTTTCCTTTTATGTTTTTTATATCTCCCAGTAGATCAGTTTTTTTTCTCCCTCTTCTTTCTCTCTCATCTTTTTGAAGGATGTTAAACATGTGTGAAGTAGCACAAATCGTAATCCCAGTCACATAGTCAGTCATTCAAGGTCCTAAGTTTTTTTTTCGCTTTTTTGTTTTGTTTTTGCAAAGCGATTTTTCTGTAAAACATATGTCTGCCAGCCATGCAGCCTGTCAAATATTTATAAAATTAACACATTGCCTGGCTGGAAGATTCACAAGCTTTCATCTTCTTGATTTCATTTCATGTAGAATCCTATTGATTCTTGTTTCTTTTTTGTGAAACAAATTTAAAATAAACAAAAATCGGCAAAGTGTTCAAGCGTTTACTTCATGCACACCAAAAAACGAAAATGTTAACATATGACGTCTACAAATATCTTTAAAAACTCATTAAGAATTCTATTCAAAAAAAGGTGGTCGGTCTGCAATTCCATTGTCTGTGACTACTCTAGTTCATGTATGTATGTCATCGTCATTGCCATGAAGGTTGCTGCTGCTTCTGGCTTGACATGACAACTTGCTGTGGTGATGGACATACGGGGTACAACTGTCAATCAAAATGTTGAAAGAAATCTTTGAAGAAATATATCTGGCTATTAATCAGATCATAGTGCCAGGGAAGTGTAGCAGGAACTCTCTTACTCACCAAGGAAGAAAAAGGATCTACAATTGTTAATTGTTTTTTGAAAGTTTCTTTATTAAAATGTCCTTGTTCCAACAAACCGGTTACATTTAACCTTAACCCAACTGGCTGGTTGGTTGGTTTGCTGGGTTATTTGTTCTTCTTTTTTGTTTTTACTTGATGAGCTGCTTGGCTATTTGCCTTCAAGGTATTGCGGCATACAATGGCTCTTTGTCATAGCTAATTTCCTATGCCATGGCATTTTTTTCGTTAGGACCTGGCAACAAATTTTAGTTGTGTTTCTGATTTCGGGAAATCCTTATTTGGTATGTTGTTGCCCATGTAAACTTTTTCCGCCAAGGTGGGGCTACAACCTTAATTCAGCCAAAGCAACTCAAAACAATTGCAACTAGTTTCTGGCATAATTCTCTGTTGGCTCTTCCTGGTGCATTTTTTTTTTTTTTGTTTCTTGTCCTTTTTTAGCCGGATTGCTATTACGTCAGACTCCAGTACCTCAGAGGCGGCGTCGACGACACCATTATACAAAAAAAATTCTCTCATTTTTGATGGCCACCCAATATGGGGCCCATATCTTTGTTCATTCCGTTTTCTTGTTTTTTTACCGCTACTGGTGTTGTTTTTGCCTGGGCTATTATGAATCTCAAGGTACAACAAGAAAAAACACACAACATATGTAAGCATTTTATTTGTCTGATTGCCTGCCCGTCCATTTGTCTCTTTGTCAGCCCCATCGTTTGGCTAGTAGTTGTTTTTGTTTTTTTTTTCTTCTCTTACATTGCTGATAGCAGTCAGTGTCGTAACATGTAACTTATGCTGGCATTATGCCTTTTTGACATAGTTGACAGTTTATAGTGCATGACATGTGACAGCCAGTCGCAAAACAAGAAAGAAAAAAAATAGCAATAGCAACAACAAAAAACAATTGTGGAAGCGACTGGTTGGCGATTTTTTTATTGCAAAAAAGATAGCTATTAGATAAAACGTGGAAGTATGACAACAACATTTCAAACGTTTTTTTTAGTTTCTTTGCAAAAGAGGCGCCCAACCAAGGGCAACAACCTTTTTTTATAGTTTTTAATTAATAATTTGAAAGTGGCGCCCAAGCAAGCACAGCTTTTTATGTATTTTTCAAAGTGGCGCCCTATCGTGACCAGGCGCTAAGTGCCTCAATATTTAATTTAAGTTTAAAACCAAGTATTAAATCACTTTTTATCAAGAATGGCGCCCAAAGTGGTTAAAAATGTTGCCCTTTATACTAATGTGGGTTCTCTTCAAATTGGAGCCCAATACATGGGTCCTTAATTTGAGTTTTCAAATCCTCAGCACCTAATATTTTGCCTTTCGATTTAAAAATTACTTTCTTAGTAAATTTTTAAAATGGCGCCCAAACTGGACCACCGGCAAAATGTTTTCCCTGTAGCTTAAAATACCAATAGAAACTAATTTAGTCACAACTATATTGATTATTCAATTACAACTGCTGTAATTCGCCTCTTCTCATGATTGGCGCCCAAACTGGGGCAATTAAAAATTTCTGATTTTTTTCTAAAATATTTTACAATTGGGGAGAGTAGAAAACTTTAAGAATTTATATGTTCTTGGTTTCCTTTTTAGTTAAATCTATTTTTTGAATACAAAACCCCTGCTTGGTCGCCAAATTAAACAAGGCTTTTCGGCTTTGCTGTTTCTAAATAAATTTCGAGAATTTTGTTGACTATGGTGTAAAAGATAGAAAATGTTCTCCAAATTTTAAATATTTGACCTATGGTGGGTAATTTTACCCCAACCCAATTTGGGCGCCAATGTGGAAAAATAGGCATGTTCAAACCGTCTTATACGAAATTGTGCCATCAATTATATAAAATATGATACGAAGGTGAACTACCATCGTATCTAAAATTATATATACTGTTGTCTATTACTTAGGTCTACCCCTGCTTGGGCGCCAATATTGCAAATTTCTGTTTTTGATTTTTTTAAATCATTTGTTAAAAAAAAAGAAATAACTATTATTCACTTAAATATATCTTGTCCAGGAATTTTTGAATTTATGTAGAGTCAATTTCAGCTTGGGCGCCATTATTGGAAATTCTTTTAATATCTGCCATTTTTCCATTCAAATCAAATTATTTTTAGGGATTTGAAGCGTATATTACTGCAATTGTTGTGAATATGTTGTCCGAGGTATAAATTCGATTGTTGTAAACTTAGCTTCAGCTTGGGCGCCACTCAAAAATTAAAAATCTGATGAATATTTAATGGAACTTATAAAACAATGAGTAATTCGTTATCTTTTCAATCAAATGAATGAAAATGGCAACGGCACAAATATTTTTTCTGATTCTCTTCAAATAACATCATCTTTATTTTTAACTTATCTTAGATCTCATGTAATAAATTTTTCCAAACACACAATTTATGCTCCCTTCTTTGCGCACTCTTCACCTCCCACAACATATGGTTATTAATTACAACTTAAAGTTTTCAAACAAACTCCCACCGCCATATGAATATGAAATGAATGGAAGCGGTGAATAAGCGTGCCAGCTTATGTTGTTTTAAGCTAGAGAGGCTTTGACCATATAAGGGACTCTCGTACAACAACCAGTTGCGAGTGTTTCTTGGCTTTTTTTCTGGTAGTATAATTATTTTTGCAGTTCATGCCGAATTCAATGTCAAGCCAACTTGGCTATTAACAGCCAGTGGAGCCGATAAACCACCGCTCAACGCCGCTAATCTCAATGATGAATCAGTTTGGTTTGGGTTTTTAAAATTTATTTGGTTATTTTGCTTAACACACACAACGCAATCTGGTTAATTGTGGCTTAAAAGATAATTGTTAACAAACGAAATACGTATGGAGACTCTTGAAATACAATTTATGTGGGTTAAGTATGAGGTATTGCTTGTGTTTTTTGGTTGGAGAGTATTTAATTTTGTCTAATGATAGGTTTTCAATTTCCAAAAATGAGTTTTTTGTTTTTGCCCATAAAACCAAAATTGGTAGCATTTGTAGCAAAATTAATCCGCTTTATTTACGAAATTGTTGGTAGCAAATTATGTTCATAGGTAAGAAGTATTGACAAATGTTTTGATTTCAACATGGTAAATAGTACACAGATATCGACTTAAGATCCGTTTTGGGAAATTGTTGAAAATATTTTGACAAGTTTCAGGCATGATTCTGAATAATGATCACATTTAAATTCGGAATTTGGCATAAATGAAAGCCGTATTAATGCTTGAATGAGTCATTTTATGTTAGAATTGTTTTCTTCCGCGCCATATTATGTATAATAAAAACAAAATTATGTATAATAAAAAATTTATCTATTTAAAAAAAGTCCGTTAAAATACTGGAATTTTTCATTTCTTTCCTTTTTCTGCTGACCTAGCTTGGGCGCCACTTTACACAACACACAAAAATTGTATATCATGCTGAATATTAAGCATTTTATTGTATTGATTTCCTTTTAATTCATTTTTTACTTTTTCCGGCTGCCCCTCGTTGGGCGCCACTTTGCCGAAATGCAGTAAAAGTCTTCATTTAGGAACTTAAATTGAAAAAAATTCAACAAATTTTCATATTATGAAACTTTAATTGACCCTGCTGATCTAACTTCTTTGCTTCTTCCGTCCCCTTCCTGCTACCTCCGATTGGTCGCCACTATGCCAACATACAAGAATAGGTTCCAAATCCCAGCTAAAAGTATGGAAACAATCTTAAAATTCGTAAAATAACACTTTAATTGACCCCACCGCACAAATAGCTTAACCCAGCTTGGGCGCCACTTCAATTGAAACCTTGGCTTCATTAAATTTTTAGGTTTTGTTTTTTTCGTTAGAAAATAAAATCAAGGAAATAAGTTCAAAAGTGTTTTAACCTTTTTAGATCCTATTTTACACCTATTTTACATTTTTCGTCCATCCAACTTGGGCGCCATTTTTTAAGTCCTCAATTCATGGCCCGATTCATGTAATTTACCTTATGTAAGATTAAAAATAATAAAAGGTGTATATTTTAAGCCCTTCATTGGACACCATAATGAATTTACGTCTTAATAATGCTCCACACATAAATGTCCTGCTTTTGCGCCATTATATTCCCTTCACACATGAAAATAATTTCTTTTGCATTTTTTTAGAACCGAAATCAATTCAATTTTCAAAATCTTTAATTCTCCTTCTTTTTTTTGTTTTCATTTTCAGATTCCTTTGTAAATAGTCAAGAATGGACGATATCACGCTCGGTGCCAGATCTACGCCTCGGCATTGTCGGTTCTCTAAATTCCGGCAAATCCGCTTTGGTGCATCGTTATTTAACCGGTTCCTATATGCAAGAAGAATCCCCGGAGGGTGGACGTTTCAAGAAGGAGGTGTTCATTGATGGTCAAAGTTATTTGTTATTGATACGAGATGAGGGTGGTGCACCAGAAATGCAGGTAAGTGCTATAAAAGCAATTCATATAATTTTTTTTTACCAACGACTTTGTGAAGAATAAGAGAAAAAAAGGAGAAAGAAGAGCACACAAGCCCTTGACATTGTTTTTTTTTTTTTTTTTGTTTTCGAATAAAAATATTCAAGATCTTTGCCATCAAAAAGGGGGGAAATATATTTTCTTAATGCCAATTTTATCATCCCATTTTCTACCTTGCCCCACTTCTTCCTCCCCACATTTCTAGAAAATTCTTAATGTATTTCTTAAATAATTCGAATATTGCCTTTCGTTTTATTATTATAACAATTTTCTTTTAATGACACTTTATCAGCCAAGGTAACCTAAAAACACGCAATGTTTTTCTAGTCTTGCTTTTTTCTCACTCTCTTTCCCTAAAAGTATACTGCACTATATGTAATTTATTGTTAATGGTACCCCTAGCCCCATAAAAATTAACACAAAATGTTAACGTTTTTGGTTTTTGTTTTGTTTTGGTCACAGATGGCCTCACTCTGGGTAAATGAACTTTTAATAGAATGAAAGAGAGATAGAGAGAGAGGCGGGGATAGGTTGGCAAATGAAAAATGCTAGGTTATATTGGAGGCAAGCAACCAGCCAGCCAGCTAGCAAGTCAGGTATTAATAACTTGGCAAAATATTGGCCATTAACATTGCAGGAGTAGAAAAAAATTAAGGGGTTTTTTTCTTTACTTTTGAGCGATAGCTATACTTATAAATTTTTCTTTTCAAATATGAGGCATACTTTAAGGCGCTATTTTCCATTAAACTAAGAAACAGCTGGCTCAAGTTAGAAATGTAAGGTTCTTATTTTTCTCTTTTTTTTTGTGCTAATAAATTTTTCAACATTTTCTTTTCAAATGTAAGGCATACTTTAAGGTGTTATATAGTCATGAAACTACAAAAAGTTGCCTCTGAAAGGCTTAATGAATATTTAAACAATTTATGATTATTGCTTTTCTTACTCCACCTACTTTGTTCATAGCTTTCGTAGTCCTTCAAGTTGTTGTATGTCGGAAAAAAGTAATGTATACTTTTAGGCGCTCAAGCTTATTCTTTGTTATTTAAATAAATATTTTATGGGTGATGGGTTTCATTCTTCTTTCCTCCACTGCCGTGCATATTTAGTATGCAAATTACTTGTTTCAAAATTTCTTTTTCGGCGCCTGCAAACATGCAAATATTATTTTTTTCCTTTATTCAAATGTTTTAGATTCTGCAACTGTAAAATATCTACATAATTTGCATATTTCTTTTTTTTCGAAGGGTGTTAACAATGTCATTTCGTATAGCTGTTGTTGTTGTTGCAGCAAATAATTTGTCTCCACTGCTTATCGTTTGAATTATGCAAATCGTTTGTTTTATGCAAAAACAATATTTATGATGTGTAACCAATGGGTTTATGTCGGGGTTTTTATTGCCTGTTCTATGTCAACATGGAAAAAAGGGGTGCTTGGTAGGGGGAGAATATGCAATGCATGCACATATTGTTTTTTTTCCTGGTTAGCGCGTGCAGTTTTCCATGCATGTGCGCACACACCCTCTAACGAGGCACCACGTTCGCAGTGGTAAATTGCCTGTTAATACACGGCCATTAATTAGAATTTGATTTGAAACCGATCGACCATAATTTTTATTGAATTTCAACCATTCAAAGATTTATTACTGTTTATTGGAATAGAATTCGTTATGCTTTTCACCTGAATTGAATGTCATCGCGGCGTCCCGATACACTTGATTTGTGTGTTTGGGCATAAATTGAAGGATGTGCATAAATCAATTGTGTGGACGATTCGGGAGTTTTTTTTGGTTAGGGGTGGAAAATAAATATTGTAGGTATTTTAAAATATATTTAAATTAAAAAATATTTTTTTATATTTAAATATTGATATTGCGAAGAAAATTGCATGTGCAAGCATATGCTTGAAAATATATATTGGCTGATACTTGCAAATTATAAAATCAATATTTTCCCATAAAACCATTTTTGACAATTTGGACTTGTTTCAAAATTTTTAATGCATTTTTATTTGTTCAAGCATATGCTTGTGTGAAAAAATTGTATATTTATTTTTAAAAAATAATAATATTACAATTCATGCATCATTCGTTATTCCAAATCTTAATATTCTCACAATTTCTTAAAATTTTCCGAAATTTCCGCTACGCAAGCATTTGCTTGAGTAAATATAAACTATCAAATGTTAAGAAAATTTAGAATTTTTGAAAATGTACAGGCAAATTTTTGAGAATTTTATTTTTGCATTTATTTTAAAACAAATGTTTGACACTGCAAGCATATGCTTGAAAGACTTGAAATAAGAAATGCACAATTTCAAGGGAATGTTGAATACACCTGCATACCAAGTACCCTTTTAAAATTAGTTTTTCTAAACATTTTCTCACTATCAAGCATGTGCTTGAAACCTATAGAACTATTTAATTCTTGATATTAATTATTACAATTATGTGTAATCAGAAACTTTTATATGTTCGTGTTCTTATTTTTAATATTTTAAAAGTTTTTCGATTCAAGCATATGCTTGAGTAATTAAAAAATTGAAATTTTACCTAATTAAGAATATAATGTTGATTAAATAGTAATAATAGCCTATAGAGCATCAAAAACTTTTATATTTTCGTGATTTTTTTCGATTCATGCATATGCTTGAATAACTGAAAAATTGGAATTTTACCCAATTCAAAAAAAATTGTTGATTAAATTGTACTTATGGCCAATAATTGCTAATGAATATTTGGGTTTCAACTCAAATGTCAGTCTTTTCGTCGGTCAAGCTTGTGCTTGATGGTCATGCAAATGCCTTCATTTTTAAATTTACTCATTCATTTTAGCCGATATATCATTAATAATTTACATATTAAAATTATTCGTTTATGAAATTGCTTTTGCATTCCAGATTCAAGCATATGCTTGAGTGAACTAAAAATTAAAGTTTGAAGCAATTTTTAACCAATTTTTTAGTGATTAACCATAATATCCACAATCAAAAAGTAGAATTTCTAGTTTGCAATGAAGTTGCACTATTTTCATTGGTCAAGCATGTGCTTGAAAGTCTTACAAATGTCTTCATTTCAAAATTTGTTCACAAGTTTTTACTTAAAAGTCATCAGTTATTTGAAATTTAATATTTTCGTTATTTGTTTTTACATTTTCTCAAATTTATACGACTCAAGCATATGCTTGAAATTTTTAAAAATTTTAAATCTGAAAAAAATTCTAGCAATTATTTGATTGTTTAACACTAAAATACATAAGCGATACATAAAATGTTGTGTTTTTAATGAAATTACAGCGTTTTCGTTAATCAAGCATATGCTTGATTGCCTTCAAAATATGGTCTTATCAGAAAAAGTGGCCAAAAATTTAAAAAATGCTTTAATTTGCAATTATAATTTATTGGAAAAATTACTCATTTTCGAAATTTCATTACCCTCAAGCATGTGCTTGAACATTACAATCATATATTTGTTTTTTTCTTATTCAACCATGTGTCTCAAGATTTAAACTTAAGATTTTTTATCAATGTATTTTGTAACGTTCTAACCATTCCGTAATTTTGTAATGCCTTAATTAAATTAAATACTTAATTTCTCTGGCTACAAACAATTTAAATCGATATTTAATTGTGAGCTTTTTTTTTGAAAAGCTTTCGCTCCCACTTTTATTTATAGAAATTGGCCTGTAAGCGAATTTAATTAAATTTCAATAGCTCAAACAAATTGCTTAAAATTTCGTCTAGCCCCACTTTCTTTTATGTCCCCCCCCCTTCCATCTTCCACTTGCTTTGCTTGCTTGTTCTTTTGTAAATCCAATTAAAAATAAATTTCTTTTGAAAGTGTTTAAAACCTTTCTTTTGCACATAACCCTTGTATTGAGTGTGATGGGGCGGGGAGGTGGGGGTATCCAATTAAGCTGGCATTGGAAATTGAAGAAAAATGTTTAAAAGCATTACAGAATGCCATCAGACAATTAACAGACAAAGTACTTTTACATTGGCTTATTACATATTTTATGACTTCATCTGTTTGAAAATTTGCCACATAAGAGGCCACTTAAAATGGGAAATAATATACGCTACCTTCATGGGGGAAAGGGGAGAGAAGGTAGGAGATAAAAGCCGCAATGATAAAAATAAATCCTTCAAATATTTATACAAGATTATTAGCTTGTGGCAAAAGAGAGCGAACCAACCTCGCAAAGTAAACATTAAGGATTCTCTTACCTTCTCTTGTTGCCCATGGCATAATATGGTAAAAATCCTTGGTTATTTGCCTGGCAACTACTTAAGAAGTCCATTTTATGTATTATGTTGTTACAGGATCCACAAGTTTTTCTTCAAGGAAAGCTTATTAAAAAGTTTTCCAAGGATTTTTATTCTCTTTCTACCTGTGGCTCAATGCAAGGAGAAAGATGTTACTTTTATTGCCTGACACAGGATTTGTTATGCTTCCTCCCCTTTGTGTGTCCACCCCGCAAGCTCCCACACAAAAAATCACGATTTGTTAATGTAGCTTAGCCATAAAGTCGTCATGGATGACGACATTAGTTTGTGTGCTTGTGGCCAAAGGTAGTTGGCTTGTTTTGGGGGCCAAACTTAGCCATGCCTGTCGGTCTTGGTTATTTGACCTAATTCCCAAGAATGTTGGCCACTTTAGTTGTATTTACCTTTTCTTGTGTTTCTATATTGTTACAGTTTTCCCCCAAGAAGGGAGGAAGGTAAATGTGTAAAAAGGCACTTTAAAAAGGCCAACAACATTTTTCGAAATTGAGGCCAGCTGTGGATCCTTGCAACAAGTTTGGGTTAATTTATTAACCTCCTTGAAATAAATAACATTTAAATACCTTCATTAAGAGCTCGTAAGACCACCGGCAGCCAAAAAACCAACCACTTTTTTTCTCTTAGTCGAGAAATCCTTATCTCCAAACTAAAAACTATTTGAGGCCAAATTAGCCCACTCCTTCAG